CATCCTTCTCAGCCTCCTCCCAACCCCGATGTCAGTCCTGTTTTACAACAGTGGCACCATGCAGTATTTGTCCTTTTGTGACTGTCCAACTTTTTGCTATTGTGAACAAAACCTCAATAAACATGAATGTGCATATATCTGCTTGGAGGGCGGGTTATGGCTTTTTTAGGGTATATTCCCAATAGTGGAATTGCTGGGTCAAACAGTATTTCTATTTCCAACTTTTTGAGAAAGCACCATACTGCCTTCCATAGTGGTTGCACCATTTTACATTGCTACCCACAGTGAATAAGGGTTCCAGTTTCTTCACAACCTCACCAACATTTGTTGTTTCCTGTTCTGTTAAATTTTGCAATTCTGACTGGGGTGAGATGATATCTCATAGTTACAATCAACACTCTTTAACACCAGCAGTCAAGAAATCAAATGATGAATTGCACTGGGAAAATCTGCTGTATGTCAGGGACCTCTCCAGAGTTCTGTCTTGGAGAGGATGAAACCAAGTTTCTCCTTGGAGTCTAGGATTTTCAAGCTCTGTCTCACCTACTTTGGGCACATGACCAGGAGAGCCAATCCATGAAGAAGGACATCCTGCTTGGAAGGGTGGAGGGACAATGCAGAAGAAGACATCAGATGAGGATGGGTTGATGCAGTGGGGCAATGAGGTTGGTGTACTGGAATTATGGAGACTGGCTCAGGACAGGGCAGGGTTCAGAATTGTGTACACAGGGTCGCTCGCTATGGGTCTCAGGTGACTTGACAACAAACTGATAGAATAAATTTCTCCTCTTTAAAGCCATCCATTTGTAGTTTTTTGTTTCAGCTGACTGAGAAATAAGACAGAAAATGGTATATTTGAAATGGTATTAAGTCTGAAATAGTACCTCATGGATTCACAGAAAAATGTCCCAGCAGAGATCCTTTAGGTGAAGACGGCAGTCTAGGAAACCCCACAGGACACTTCCACTGTCCTATAAGAGTGGCTCCGAGTCAGAATTGAATGATGGCAAGGGGATGGATTTGGTTTGGATCCTTCCAATAAGAAACCCTAGTGGTGCAATGGAACTGGTTGCCTAGAGGTAAGAAGCTGTGCTGCAATCCCAAAGGCACTAGGTTCAAATACACCAGCTGCTCCTCTGTAGGAGGGGCAAGCTCCTCCTGCGGACTTTGTCAACAGTGGGTGGGTTCTGACCTCAGCACACAACAGTGGCGCAATATGAAAGTCTGACTGCTTAAAGCTCAATAGTGAAAACCCATAAGCCACTCCTCAGGTGAGAATCCCAGGCCTTCTGCTTTTGTGACGATCTTAGACTAGAAAACCCAACGGGGTGCTTCTACCCTGCCCTGCAAAGCCACGGTGAGAGTCAGGATGGATTTGAAGGCACGAACCACATCCATCCCACATGGGAGAGTCTACAATATACTCCCAATTCACAAAAACAAGTTTTAGGAAGGTCTAGGCAGTAACAACACTTAGTTTTTCAAGCTTTTAAGTTATAACTATTGGTCTCTTCCCATTCAGAGCAAAGAATGAAGAAAACCAAATCACTCAAGGACACAATTAGTCTAATTGATGCTGTTCACTGCAGTAGAGCTAGCTGCAGACACCTACCTGGTGACGCTAAACAGATCAGAACTGCGTATCGCGGAGACACTGTCGGTCTCCACCACGCGTGAGCCTCTGCTGTAGCCACCCATCGTGTTGAAGGTCATTCTCTCTTCCTCTCACCTCTCCCGAAATGATACTTTTTTTTCAAGGACTGGCCCGTCCCAACAACATGCCCAAAGTAAGAGAGATGAGGCCTCACCAGCCTTGCCTCTACGGAGCACGGTGGTCGCACTTCCTCCAAGACAGACTTGCTTACTTGTTTGTCCTTTTTGATGGTGCATAGGAAACAGGAAAACTTCGCCAACATCACAATGAAAAGCCATCAATTCTTCTTCGGACTAATGGGCCACAGACACCACCATCTCCCCTAACTGAGAGCTAAAGAACCAGCTGATGCCTGGTTTCCACCACCAACTGCTCTGACCAGGGTCACAATAGAAGGTACTACTTGATGGGAGGAGAGAAAACAATTGAGATTCTTAAAAAAGAGCAGACTTAATGGTCTGATAGACAGGTAGAACCTGGGAGATATGAACAACGGATCCGAACCCTGTCCTGTCCAGTCCTGTGTCCTCACAATCTCCGACACACTTGAACTTGCTGCAGTCTGGAGGAAGAATATCAGTTGCCCCTAGGCCTGATTATTCCTTGAAGAAACCTGATAATGTCTATCTCCTGGCAAGGTGACCAGAAGACCAGATCCTGATAAGGCCCTGGGCCTGATCGCATACTGACAGGACCCTGTCCCCAAATTCCAGAGCAAATTAGCACCCCAAGTTTCCCTGAAAAACCCTATAAAAGGAAGCTATCTTTGTCTGCGTGTGAGCCACTCTTATCCCCTCTGCGAGTAGTCACCTGGTGGTCCCTCTCAGACCAGCAAGAAAGGCCTGTGTTTCTTGAGACCAGCTTCTCTCGTGTGCGTGCGCACTCCTCTCTTTTTCTATTGAACACATTCACTGTCAATCCATCTTCCTCTATTTGTTGAGGGTCTTCCTCTATTTCGCCCACCGTCCACCTTTCCAAGCATGATGTCCCTTTCCCCTCTCCTAACAACATGCTCGAAGTATGTGAGATGAAGCTTTGCCTCCAAGGAGCACTGTGGCTGCATTTTCTCCAACATATACCTGTTCTTTTCAGTTAAGTGCACGGGAGGGTGGGGAGCTGCTGGTGGATTCACACTGCGTGCATTTGGGATTCTAGCACAGCTTCTTGCCACCAGGCCACCAACGCTTCCAGAATGAATAGGTGTGGAGAAAGGATACAACCCTGACACACACCTTTCTGGGGGTTCCCTCTCCGGCACTTCAGTGTGCCAGCTGATTCCAGTCCCCTCTCCTGAAGTCTGTTGTCCTCCTTTGTCTGCAGACTGCACACCTTTCTCAGTTATGAACCATGCAGTGTTCCCTTGCTCTGTTCATTTGCTGCTGCTCCTTGGTGTAGGCATAGGTTTTGTATAAGCACATGAAGTATCTGGGATTTCCATTCTTCTCTATTAGACATAATTTGTTATGATGATACACAGTCAAATGCCTTTGCATAGTCAAAAAAACACAAACAGATGTTCATCTGGTATTCTCTGCTTTCAGCCAGGATCCATCTGACATCACCAGTGATAACCCTGAAATCCCTGAAGCCATGGCCTCTCCTAAATCCAGCTTGAACGTCTAGCAGCTCTTTGTCTACTGTTGTAGTACTTTTTTGGATGGTCTTCAACAATACTTTGCTTGCATGTTATATGAATCATTTTGTTCAGTAATTTCCACTTTCTGTGGGATCACCATTCTTGGATGGTAACAAATAGGGAGCTCTTCTGGTCAGTTGGCCAGACAGCTGTCCTCTGGCAAATCAGTGAACGCATCCAGGGCTGTACCTATTAGTTACGCATGACGTTCAGACATTCCTTTCTACCTAAGAACTGAAGCTACACCCTGAGATCCTTCCCACCAAAGGCCTAAGAAGTAAATAATAACATTGGGAAGAACTTGTGATCGCCAACTAATTGCCTATGTAACTTTTCTCTGAACTACAATAAAACTTTATTATCTTTAAGAAATAGAATAAAAGAACCAGAAAATGCCAAGAGAGATCTGTGCTGAACTCTGGAAGGCAGTCACGTTAAACGGGGGGGAGCGGGCTGGGCCTGGGCCCTTGTCATAGGCAGCAGGGACTTTAGCCCTCCCTGTCATGTTTTCTTTCTTGATAAGGAGATTATGCACATGAATACACGTGTAATTAAAGATTAACTTTTAAAAAGCCCTAAGCACAAAGCACAAAGAACTTGCTCAGCATATCTTAAGCTCAAGGAACTGAAGAACAAATTCAAACCTCCAGTTGCTATGATCAAGGATGTTTTCGGCAAAATGTTAAATGATCCAGGAAGTATTAAAAGAAGATGGAAAGAATATACTGAGTCACTGTATTGAAAGGTATTGGAAGACACAGAATTTCATGAAACAACATATGAGCAAGAGCCTATGGTGATGAAAGAAGAAGTTCAGGCTGCTTTGAAGGA